CCCACTTTGTGGAAATTCAGAAATTTGTATTCTTATTTCATACCATAAAAAAACTTATAATTATACAATATGTTGAGGCCACTCCAACAAGGACAAAGGATTAGAGTTATCAGTACTTATGATTCATTTGGAGGTCACTCACTAGATAGACAGTTTCCCAAATACCCAGAAGAATATGCAGCTAGAGCCATGCTTAAAGTAAATGTTACGATTCAGAACCCAAATGTAAATACAATGGTAAAAATAGAATACAAAAATAATAATATAAAAACAAAGCACAAATAGTAGAAAAAACAAAAACACTATGATGTAATTTACTATGTTAGTAGAATAAAAGTCATAAAACATATTGCCAACCAAGAAATACAAAACACATTGGTTAAAGAATAAAATTGCCTGACATGTTGAATATTGATACAGTCTCAGGAAAGAATCACAAGACTTTTCTTGCTGACATACACTCTGCAATGTGGTTTACAATAAATTAAATCCTTGATATAATAGAATACAATGAATATCTGATATAATTAAAGGGCATTGACTCCTGGGCTTAAAACACATATTCTTGAATGCCATGGAGCAAAGCCACATATAGATGAGAAAGTGAGACAACACAAGGTATCACAGGATATCCTCATATGACCTGTAAAAACAAAAGAGTAAAATAATAACATTCAAAGAAGGGCTATCATTAAATATATACGCACAGCAGCATGATGCAGTGGAGCCAGCAAATATGTGCACAAAAGGATGAAGACTTAACAGGCACTGGGTGTGTTTACAGTGGAAAATTATAAGTGGGAGGAAATTCTAAATAAGGTACCAACAAGACTAACCTTGAGAACACATTGCTAAAGGACAAAGATTAGGCAAGAAAGGTCAAATATTGTAGGATATGATCAATAGAGACACCTTGAAAAGTAAAATTCACAGAAGTGGATTTTACCAGGTCCTAAAGAAGGAGGAGAATGAAGATGTGTTAAAGGGAAAGCAGTTCCTGTTTTGCAAGTAGGATGGAGTTCTGGAGATGGAACATGGGCATGGCAGTGAAGAAAGTATGAATGTACTTAAAACAGTAAAAGTTGATAAATCTGGGGAATATGTGTATTTTATCACAATTTTGTGTATTTGCTTTACACAAGGGATTAAAGCAATCTGGAAAGGACCTAGGGAAAAAGGAGGCTGACATGCTGCAATTAGGAAAAAAGCAGAAATGGCAGGATAGAGGGTGGAAAAAACTGATTATAAAAATTAAAAACTTACCAGCGCCTATAAAACCATAATACAAAAAACAGCAAAACGACGAAACAGGGCACTAGCACTGCCACAATGATCCAGCCAATGGAGATGGAGTGTCCTGGCAGTGGGGAAGGAGTTTAGAGAATGTCATTTAGAGTCTTACACACACGTTCCCACTGCTTCCTTACCCCACATAGGCATCATTCTTGCACAAAAGGTCTTTCCGTGTCTGCCAACCATTCCTTCTTAGAACCACACCTCTTCTCTCTGTCCCTCCTCATTTTTTCCCTTTACTTAGCACTAGAGCAATCTCCCCCAATTTAGAGTCTGAGACCCACCCTTCCTCACCCCAGTGGAGCACGATGTCCTGCCCTCCTAGACTGCTGTGCTTCACTCGGCAAGACAGTCCAGAGGCATCCCCTGCTGCCACATCCAGGGTCACTCGGAGATACCACGTGTCATCAGCATTGGGCAGGAGGTCCCCTCTCTGAGCTTCAGGCTGCTCCTCTTCACCCCGCATCCACATCACCCACACTGGCTTTGGATAGAAACCAGAGACATGGCACAGCAGCTGCAGATGGCCAGGCCCAGAGCTGGGTCCCTGGGACAGCCAGACCTCAGGCTTCACTGGGCAAGAATGGACAAGCAGAATGTCACCCTATAGATATAAACCAGAGCTCTTAAATCAGAAGCCCCTCAACTTCAGAAATTTTTTCTTCTGTACTTTTAGAGTGAGAAGAGCTGTTCAAGCCCTTCTGGTATCTTCAATTTGGCATTAAAGTAGGTGATGCAAGAGAAACAGTATAGGACTAACCTTGCTTCTGCAGATCGGCCTTCCCTGTTTCTAGGACACCCATCAGATACCGGGGGCAAGTGTCTGTGACTAGATTTTCCACAATATCATACAATCCTTTGTATTGATTCAATAAATCACAGAACTTCTGTGCCTTGGTACCACCTTCTGGGGCAGTCAAACATGAATAATTCTTGATGTATATGAAATCTAAGCCTCCAAAAGCTAGACTCAGAAAGTTTTCAAAGACTCCTCCAGAATACAAATCACAGCCTGCAATGCCCTGGATCTCAAAGGGGTCTGTAAAGAAAGAAATTTGAGAAAAATATTAGATAGCATGGACAAGGAGGGAGTTGTGTTAAACTGAAATCATTATAGCACATAGAAAGCCTCAGTAAATCAAACTAAAGAGTGGTATCGAGAACTGGAAGGGGGATTGTGTTGTGTAATGTATATAGTGGTAAGATGGGACCAAAAAAAAAAAAGGCAGAAACTAAGAAAGGTATAAGGGAATCAGAAGGACAATGCTACTCAATGAACCAACAAGTGACTTGGGGAGGCAAGCACAGGGAGGAGAAAGTGGAAGGGAGGGATGAGAGAAGGAATCAGACTTTAGGTGCCAAAGACACAAGGTAGAAACATAAGGAACAAGTTCCCATAAGAAGTTCATGGATTGTTCACAAAGTGGGGCCCTTAATTTGTCACAAAGGAGTGCAAAGGAGGCATATCTCAGGAAATCTTGTGACGTGCAGATCTGGGTAGGTGCAATTGTAGCAAGGAGTAGTTGGGTGAAGGTAGAAGGATGTGGAAGAACAAGAGATTTCTGTGTCCTGAACCAAGAGGTTAGAAACAATTGAAAACTCCAACCCCCACAGTATTAAGAATGGGCTCACATTCCATTTTGAAATCACTGGCATGTTCCTGGAGTTCTCCAGTCAATTCCAAGAAGTAGAGTCGAAATACTTCCTGAAGATCAAAAAGTTCATCATTGCTGAAGTTACCCCTAGACCAGGGCTTCAGGAATATGAAAGTGCCTGAAACACTGTTCCAGCGATAAGTCTGAATATCTCCCAACCAGCCTGAACCTCGATTTTGTACCCAGGTACTGTTGAAAAAAGATGAGATGTGGATAACATGGTAAGACATCAGCTCTGGGAAGGCTGTGGAGAAAGGAAGGATAAGATGTTGAAAAGAAGAAAAAAGGGATAAAAACAAAATGACCCAAAAATTGCAAATGCCACAAGCCTTGACTGATCTGAGATGGCCAGAGCCAACAGCTACAGTGCAAACCTCCAGAATGGTGGAAGAGCCCTGAAGAAAGAAGGGCTAAGAGCATCCACCCAACTGGGTAAGCACAACTTGACTGTTCCCACAACTGTGCACAAGGCCAGCTACCAATTCATCTTACCATTCTGAGCATCATCAGGTGCGAAGAGAACTGAAAGCAATATCAGTGCCAGGGGCAGCATTTCACTGAGAGACAGGTTGTGTTGTTCAGCTTCTGTTTGCAATCTGAGTTTAGCAGCTCTCCTTTGCTCTGTGCTGTGTAAAAATGATTCCTCTCTCCAACTACCAGTCTCTTACTCACAGAAATTTTGAATCAGTGAAAACATTTGCCTGCCCACTCTGGTACTCCTACTCCATCTTTCATTTCTCCTGTCGCCCTGACTTCCCGATTAACTCTTACTTCACTGGCTACATGTTTCTCTTCTTCTCTTCATATTTCTTCATATTATCTCAGAAAAATACTGCAGAGGTTTGAAATGTACCTCCACATGCATGAACCTTCATTTCAGATCTGGAAGATGAGTGAGGGATCCTAAATTTCTGCTCAGACTCTAAAATTGGAAAGACACCGGTCATTTATCCACCCCTGAGCATCTCTCCCTTCCCCTATCCTGTCTTCTCTACCATCACAGTACTCCTTTCCAATATTACATGCCTCCCCCTTCCTATTTCATCATTATCTAGGTTGTCACGCCCAAGATTTCTGGGTCCGTTTTTCAATTTTTGCATCTTCACTTCCACTTCATCAGACTCTAGAATTTTCCACTGTGAGTATAAAATCAGCCAAAGTACAAAAGTCTTGGAGGAAAATGCAGTAGTTCTCATACAGATTAAAGTCCCAGACAACTGAAAATATGGCAAAAATGATTCTCTTCTTTTAGTTTACTTTTACAAAATAATATTTTTTAAATAAATGTGAGGCTACAGAACCCGAAATACATTTATCCTTGTGATATAATAAATCCCTTTTGATCTCCTCATACGCCCCAGTTTACTTAGGGATATTTTAGTGTATAGAGTTAACAGATCAGACAGGACCTGAAATCTATGGAAATGGCGAATCTCTATGAGACTGCTTTTTAATAGTGTTTCTATGGAGATTTCTGTTGCTGTTGTTTATCCGTGTGTAACTAAATATTTCTGCATTTCTATGGACTTGTTTCAAAGCATTATCATTTGTCTCTATTCTTAACACCTATACAAGTGTATTAAAAGGATCAAAAGCACAATGAATATTTGAGTAGGATGGAAACGAATTAGGAAAGATGGAAGATAAAGAAACAAGAGATAATCCAGGCACCTCAGCATAAGTACAGGTAGAACACTGGAGAATCAGCTGAGCTAGATTTTGTGTTGTTCAGAGTTTGATTATTTGTTGTTATTGTGGGGTTTTGTTTGCTTGCTTGCTTTTATGGTTTTTACTACTAAAAATTGAACTCTGCAATGAGGTCTTTACATTAAGCTACATTTCTAC